TTCGACTCCTCCAGTTCGATTCGATTCGGCTTCGGTGGCTTCCGATTCCGATGCGATTCGACCTGGGCTTCCGGTTCGGGCTCTGATGTCTTATTGGAGGCCTTCTGGTCTGCCGATTTCCGCCGATTTGACTTTTTCCGGCTCGGCTGCCGATGTCCGCCGATCCGATTCATGTCGATCGCCGATCCGACTTACCGATTCGATTCTGGGCCCTCCTGCGTAAGTGCACGCACTGTATTTGGAATCTAATCATGTGTGCGGGATCGAAGACGCCTATGGCGAATCACCGCCGCCCCTTGCCTTTTTGGAAGCGCCTACGTGGCCGAACGTTGAGGCCAGACCTGCCAAGCTATCGGACCATGTGTTCCCCGAATCGGTTTGGAAAGCCTTCGGGAAACACGTGGGCATCTTGAAGGTCATCTTGGCCGTCTGGAGGCCATTTTGACCCTTTCGGGCCTTCTTGGAGGACGTCTTGGAGGGCTCTTGGGCCGTCTTGGAGGCCATCTTGAGCGTTTTGGAGGCCTCGTGGGCCGTCTTGGGAGCCTCTTGGGGCCGTCTTGGGCGATCTTTGGGGTCTCTAGGGCCGTCTCGGGCCGTCGGAAGGCCGAACAGAAGCAAATGTCAAAATCATTTCTTTGATTTATTAATTATTGTGGTGTATGTGTATATATATAGATACACACATATATATATATATATATATATATATATATATATAACAAACTCAGGGGGGAATCAATGATTTTGGCCTTTTCGGGCCTTCTGGAGGCCCTCTTGGAGGCCTCTTGGGCCGTCTTGGGCCATCTTAAGGCCATCTTCGGCCGCCTTGGTGGGCTCCTGGTCCTTCTGACGCCGTCGGAAGCCGTTTGGGGGGTCTCTCTGGGCCGACTTGAGGCCCTCTTGGAATGCTCCAGGGCCGTCTTGGAGGCCATCTTGGGCGTTTTAAAGGCCTCCTGGGCCGTCTTGGGGGCCTCTTGGGGCCGTCTTTGGGGGGCCTCTTGGGGCCTCTTGAGGGCCTCTTGAGGGCCTCTTGGAGCCTCCTTGGGCCTCTTGCGCCCTCCTGGGGGCATCTTGGGGCGGAAGGCTTGGATTTTCGGTTCGTGTTCCCTCGCTTGGGCCCCTTTATGGTGGGGGCCTCATGGGTCGTTTCGGGGGCCTCTTGGGCCGTCTTGGGGCCCTCTTGGGCCGTTGTGGGGCCCTCCTGAGGCCTCTTGGGGCGTCTTGGGGCTGTCTTGGACAATCGTGGCGGCCTCTTGGGGCCCTCTCGGCCTGTCTCGCGGCCCTATATGGGCTCCACAGAGTCCGACGGGGAGCCGCGGGGGAGCCCAAGAGGACCGAGGGAAGCCCCCTCCGATTTCAGGGCTTCTGGGGCCCGAGCCTCCTACAGATGGGGGCGTACATGCGAACCCCCCACCCTCCCCCTCAGAAATCGTGGAGGGCAGGGGCAGGGTTCGCACGTAAGCCCTTTCGTGCATTCCCCAGGCCTGCTGACTGAGGCTCCACGGGGGGGGCAGGCCGATGACCCGAGGGCACGCCCGCTCCGTGCCGGCGGCCCAGGTGCTCTGGTGTCTCGTCGTGAGTTCAGGTGCGGGGCTGACACTTTGGGGCCCGGCGTGATGTCGATCGTGAGATCCGTAGGGGGATCGGCGCACAGGAAGCGAGTGGAAATCGATTGTGAGACTGATATATTCGTAGTGCGATCGACACTCAAGTCGGTAGGTCGCGAGATCGGAGATCGACCGTGAGATCGATCGTGAGATCGATCGTGAGATCGATCGGATGTCGATCGGTAGATCGATCGTGGTGTCCCGTGGTGTCTCGCAGTGCTCTGTGGTTTGGTTGTTCTCCTGAAACGTGCGCGCGGGCGAATACATGCCACCTCGTTCTGCTGGTAACCCCGATGTGTTTTGTTGTATGTTCCGGTATATACAGATACAGAAAAAGCATCTGGGCAAGAATACTGTTCCGTACGTTCGTAGTGCGCCCAGCACTAAAAAGATAGTGGGCAAATTAATGCCACCTAGTTTGGCTTGTTGTCCTGATGCTTCCCGTCGGATGCTACGATATATATATATATATATATATATATATATAGAGCACCCCGCCATTTGCGGATAAGAGTGAGGGGGCGGGTGCGGGCGACGCGGGCGTCGTCAAGCCGGCGGACCTCGTGGCCCCCACCTTCCCTGACCGATGCCGCTCTCCTTCTCCCCCTCCTCCTCCTCCTCCTCCTCCTCCGCCTCCTCCTCCTCCTCCTCCTCCTCCTCCTCCTCCCTCCTCCTCCTCTTCCTCGTCCTCGTCCTCGTCCTCATCGTCATCGTCGTCCTCCTCCACCTCGTCCTCTCCTCCTCCTCTTCTTCCTCGTCCTCCCTCTCCCCCCCTCGTCCTTCCATCATCGTCCTCCCATTGTCGTCATGTCCTCCTCGTCGTCCTCCTCCTCTTCCCCCCCTCCCGATCCTCCCCCCTCCTCCTTTTTGTCGTCGTCGTCGACGTCGTCGTCGTCGTCGTCGTCGTCCCCTTCCTCCCCCTCCTCCTCCTCCTCCTCCTCCTCCTCCTCCTCCTCCTCCTCCTCGTCCTCCTGCAAAAGCAGCCCGCCGCAGGCGCCGAAAAATTTGGTTTGTACACTGAACGTGGTTTGGGTCGCTGGTGGGCCGCGGGTTCTCCACCAGGAACGAATGCAAAAGATGCCCGCCGCAGGCGCCGAAAAATTTGGTTTGTACCCTGAACGTGGTCGCGGGTGGGCTGCGGTCTCTCCACCTAGAACGAATGCAAAAGATGCCCGCCGCAGGCGCCGAAAAATGTGGTTTGTACCCTGAACGTGGTTTGGGTCGCGGGTTGGTCGCGAGTTGGTCGCGGGGTGGGTCGCGGGCTCTCCACCTGGAAGGAATGCAAAAAAAGCCCGCCGCAGGCGCCGAAAATGTTGGTTTGTACCTTGAACGTGGTTTGGGTCGCGGGTGGGTCGCGGGTGGGTCGCGGGGTGGGTCGCGGGTGGGTCGCGGGTGGGTCGCGGGTGGGTCGCGGGTGGGTCGCGGGTGAGTCAAAGGTGAGTCGCGGGGTGGGTCGCGGGTGGGTCGCGGGTGGGTCGCCGGTGGGTCGCGGGTGGGTCGTGGGGTGGGTCGCGGGTGGGTCGCGGGTGGGTCGCGGGGTGGGTCGCGGGATGGGTCGCGGGGTGGGTCGCGGGGTGGGTCGCGGGTGGGTCGCGGGTGGGTCGCGGGTGGGTCGCGGGTGGGTCGCGGGGTGGGTCGCCGGTGGGTCGCGGGGCGGGTGGCGGGTGGGACGACGACAACAAGCAACAACAACAACAACAACAACAACAACACGAATCCGCACCGCGGAATCCCACTTCAGCCACGCACCCAGGGACAGTGAATGACCGTTCGGCCCCCTCACTCTGATATACATGTATATGTATATATATATATATATATATATATATATTGAAAGGCATATTGCCTTGTATGTTCGTAGTACGCACGTGTGAACACATCCCATCGGTTTCCGCTGGATGCCCCTATGATTTCCTATGTTTATCAAGGACACCCTCGGGACAGCATTGGTGGTGTTCCGTGGTGCCCAACTGATGTCCGCCGAGTCCGATCCGACCCTGAACTCCCCCGCCAACCTCCTTATCAACCGAAGGGTGGTCGTATAGGTATCTCTACCTCTCCCTGTCTATCTCTGTCTCTCTCTCTCTCTCTCTCCCTCTCTCTCTCTGTCATTCATTTCTGTGTTTTAGTTGTTGTTGATCTCTTCCTCCCCCTCTCTCTCTTTCTCTCTCTTTCTTTCTCCCCTCTGTCTCTGACTCTCTCTCTCTCTCCCCCTCCCTCTTGTTACTTTGCGCCCCTTGCCCATGCTGACGACGCACCGGCCTTCGGCATGCCCGCTGGCGGACATCTTGAAGCCCTCGGTTGGCCTCCTCGGATCTGTCGACAGGTACTGCACGGCGGCACACCGACATGCCAATATCGCGTGTGCGTCGCCCCATCCAGGGGCGCCAAGCGCGCCGAGACATGCGATTGCACAAGCAGTGTATGAGCTCTGTGGCGGGCGCTTCCTGGCCATGCCGCTCGGGAAACGATACACGACAAGATGGTCAATACTACATGTTCGGGTCGGACGCACGCCTCCGAGGATGGCATACAGTACCGGCATGTCCCTGTGCGTTCCAACTAGACCACCCGTTTGGACCCAGAAGGCCATCTTGGAGGCCTCTTTTGTTGCAGTCTTGGCCCGTCCCCAGTGAGTGGGGGGGGGAACTTTTGCCCCGGTTCGCGTCCAGTGCGGAGTCAGGTACGATCCTTGATGGGCCTGTTTTCCACCACCACCACCATAAGATGGAGGGGAGAAGAAGGTGAAACACGAGGAGGAGGAGGAGGAGGAGGAGGAGGAGGAGGAGGACGAAGTGGAGGAGGAGGAGGAGGAGGAGGAGGAGGAGGAGGAGGATGAGGAGCCCCACCTCCAACTTATCGTGGTGGTGGTGGAAAACAGGCCCATTAATCCTCAGCCCCTCGCAAACATGGATTAAGCGGGCGTGGATCAGCGACGGGTCCCGTTTTCATGTAAAGTCGCGGATTTCCGCCGCCGAGCGAGGCGGCACCGGCCGCATTGTGGGCAGGGCACCTCCCCCGATCCACGGATTTGGCGACCGCGCGCCAAACCCATAGATCGCTAATCCATGTTTGCGCGCCCCCGAGATCCGCTCGCTGGATCCGATTTGATTCCGGTATCCCGGCGAGGCGAGGCGACCCAGTTCGGGGCTCAAGAGATGGGGGTCAATGCAAACGGGGTCAGTCAGAGCGCTGGATCTTGCAGGACCTTGCAAAGCCAGGGGGCTTGCGTGCGAGATCTTGCAGGATCTTGCAGGACATTGCAAAGCCCGACTGACCCGGGCCTGTGCTCGTGTTTGCTCGGCCGGTCCGATTCGATTTCCACTGCGTGCCGATGCGGCTCGATTCGATGCACGTGCCGATTCGATCCGACTCTTTCCGATTGGATGCTGGCTTCTTTTGGTCCAGGGAGTGGGGCTTGGACGCCTGCAGGAGGCATCCGGCACTCCGACACGCCCCGGCGTGCCGAGGCCGCGGTGTGGCGGATCGCAAGTTGATGTGTATATGTCCTCCCGGGAGAAGGGAGGGTAAGCATGAGTGCCCAGCGTGCAGAGAGGCATGTATACGGCAAAGCGGCGTGACTGCCGCTTTGGCTCAAGCCATTCAGTGAGTAGCCTCTCTGGAGTGCGAATCCTGTTTGCGGCGGCCGCCCCTCTTTCCCCATCATTCATATCAGATAATCTCGAGTATCAGCATCACGACGTTCCTCGTGGTCCTCTCCCTCTTCGTGGCCCTTCGGGCCAACAGGGCTCTCAGGACCGGCACTGTGGAAGTGCCTGTATCACCTCCGTTGGCGGACGCGCTGACGGACTGCGACGGCGGCGGCGAACCTCTGGAGGCGTTGTCCCAGGAGGAGGAGCGTGAGGAAAACAACTTGGTAGCGGAGCAGGTGCGATCCCGTACCTGCTCCCAGGATACGACACCACTGCGCTACTACGACTACGTCATGTCCAACGCTCCACAGATGACAGGTGGACTACCGGCGGGACCTCAGATCATGCAGTCAAATACGAAGACGCCCCCGAGCTGGGATCCCGCCAGGGAATCTTCATATCCACTCCGTGACTGGATCACGGATATTCGCATGTGGGAAGCGATGACAGACATACCAGCACGTTCGATTGCTCCAGCCGTGGTCTTACAGTTATCAGGACTGGCAAGAGAGATATCGAGAGAGGTGCCGCCAGATCAACTACAAGACGGAGTTTACATGGACCTACGTGATGGCGCTGGACATCGATGGTGTTCGGGGCTAGACTTATTGATTCATGGGCTGCGGCGCAAATTCATGCCACTGGAGGTGGAGACCGCTATCGCGAGTAGGAGGAGTCGGCTTGCAGGGGGGGGCGGGCGCGGGGGGGGCACCAACGACCGCGCCGATTCCATCGCGGTCCGCTGCCCCTTCCCGGAACTCTCAGGAATCCTCCGGGCCCAGTCGGCCTCGCAGTCGGCGCCGGCGTCGCGCCGCCCGCGAGCGCCGGCCGGCGGGCGGGCCGACCTTGTTGCGCATGTTTGGCGCGAGAGACCCGCGCAGGCCTCGCGTTGTGCCCGCGCCCCAGGGCGACGGCCCAGGCCCTTGTAGCCTCCCGCGCTGACGCGATGGCCTCGCGCGCGGCGCAGGAGCGGGCGCCGCCGACCGTTCGGTTCGGTTCCGCGCGCTTCTCATGCGCGAGCGCAAAGCCCCCCATGCTGCTCGCGCGCTTTGCGCGCTGAGCAGCATGGGGGGCGACGGCCGCGCGTTCAATGGGAAACCGCAACGCAAGTTTCCATTCCCGCGCGCGTGGCGGGGTATGAACTTACAGATGTGCCGACGGTCGAGAACTCGCTCGCGCGCGCACGCGCCCGCCATGTTGGGCGCGCGCGCCGGGCCCGGAAATCTGCGGCTCGGCCGCCCGATGCGCCCCAAAAACCGCTTCGCCTCCCCCCCCGCCCCCCTCCCCGTCAAAACTCTTCCGCGCTCCTGGAAAAAACGCGCCGCCGAGGCGGGGGCTCGGGCCGCGGCCCGATGGTCCCCGGGGCGCAGGGGAATCAAAGGAATCAGTACGGAATCAGTACAGAATCAAAACAGAATCGGCACAACTGCGACCCCTGATTCTAGCGGAATCAAAAGAATCAGCACGGAATCCATGCGGAATCAAAGGAGGAATCGGCGATGGAACCAGAATCGGCCAGAACGGGGAAGTAGGCCAGAATCGGTGCCAGAACCCATGGAGAGAAGCCTTTTTCCCGCGAGTTCATTGCGGCGGGTCCGCGACGCGGGCGCTCCCTGCGACTTCGCTGGTCCAGCAAGGCGCGCAGTCGGCGTTCAGAGTGAACAGGTTGTTTTCAGGGCGATATCCTGGCGGCGCGCTGGCGCATTGCGCATTTGCGTATTCCTGGCGGGCTGTTTGAGGGCGACCCGGCAGCGTCGGCCGAATGGCCCGCAAATGTCGCGCGGCCGATCGCGCGCCCCGCGCGGTCACGTCGACCGCCGTGTGCCGCGACGGCCGCGCGCCCCGGGCCGCGCCATTGCCGCGTTGGATTGGACGGCGCAGCGCCCGTCCTCCAAAAGTCGTTACATGCATATCGCGCGTGTCGAGCCAGCAGCAATCGCTTCCCAGAAGCAGCCTTGACAGGCGCCCCATGCCCGCTGTCGCCCGCTTCCGATCCAAATCATAGTTTCTTAGGATGCGCTTGCGCGAATGTGAGCGCGCGGGCAAGTAACGCGTGCGCGCGCTTGGCGCAGCCTGGGGAATCCAACATGGAGCCCCCCGGGGGCGCGGGGCGCCGGCGACGCCTCCGCCCGCCTCCCGCGCGCCCGACCCCCCCCGCAAGCCGACTCCTCCTAATCGCGAGCATGACCGATCTCGTTGCCTTCCGTCGGAGGCCAGGCGAACCGATTGACCAAGCTCTGGCTCGATTTGATCTTCTGAAGTTCAAGGCGGAGCATCTGGGAAATTTTCATATGGGAATCCCGAATCTGGCTTGGATGTTGCTCAATGCTCTTGGTATTCCACCGCCACAGTGGGCGCAATTTCTGGCTCCAACGGGAGGTAACTTGCCAACGAATGAACAGGAGCTTTCAAGTCTTACCTCTTTTATCAGACGTCAGAATCATTTGTATGAGCGGAGTGGACTCGCGCAGGCAGCTCATCAATCCAGACATCAGCACTTCACCAACTCCGCAGGTGCCGGCGATGGGTTCTATTTCACAGACAGTTCACAAGACGCCGGCACACAAGCGGGAGTACCACCGCCACCTATGCCCTACTATCCCAGTGCATCGTCTTCGTCGAGGTCAGGTGCACCACTCGGTGGCGTCGCTGGAATATCGAATGGATCAAATACAGAAGGATGCTGGTGCAGTAATTGCCATAGAATATTCTACGACCGGGAGGATCCGGACTCCACCGAGACGAGTGATGACGACGGCAACGATTTGGCGGAGTCGACCTTTCATATCAGCGCCCAGATGAGTGACAGCGACCTGTATGAAGTATACGCTTTGGCCAAGAAGCACTGGAGGAGGCGAGCAGACAGACTTCCAAGACGTCGTAGATACAAAGGCAAGGGCAAGGGCAAGAAAGGGGTCAGATTTCAGAGAAACAGTGGATGGTCCTTTCTTTCGGAGGCAGGAGACGGAGCTCTTTGCCCCGGGTGTACGTGGAACACTCACGAATACTACAAGGGCAAGGGCAAGGGCGAGAAGACAAACCCGAGAGGCGCGAACGGACAGCCGCTTCGATGTGACCACTGCAACAGCGAGAAGCATCTATGGAGGAAGTGCGACGCTCCAGGAGCTGACGATTACCGACGAAAACGGGCTACCTCAGGAGGAAAGGGTTACGTTACGACGGAAGGAAACACGAGTACAGGAGGAGCCCCACCAGCTGCAAGCTTCTCCAGCGCGTTGCAGCACTGGCAACAACTCACGGGTCAACCGCCAGCTTCAGCAGGGACCAGACACTTCTTCGCCATGCCGATCAACCTGGAGTCACAGGTGGACGAGTCCAGGGATGACGAGAAGGAGTACGAGGACAGCTACTACCCGGACGTGGAGGAGGAAGGCTCGCGCCTGTGCGAGTCGCATGCACGGCCAGACCTTCAAGAGGAGGTCCGCCGTGACTGTGCTTCGTCCGCATCTTGGGATATGCTATCGACTCCCTCGGAGTTCGTGAACATCGGCAATGAGACGATCCGGATGATTGAACAGGCGAAGGCTCGGATTACAGACGACCCGGACATGGAGGCAACTCTTGGAGAGCATCGGTCCAACGACGAGCAGATTGACTCAGGAACCAAACCTGCGGGATTGAAGTGGTTTGTGGGACCGGTGTTCGAACGATACGATGAGACACGACAGGTATTTCTGGAGGCTACACGAATTGATGGTAAAGAGTGCTTGTTGATAGATCCAGGCGCGTATGACAATTTGGTGGGTGACAGATGGGTTATGCGAATGGGAGCTTTGGCAAGACAGGCAGGCTTGGAACCGACACAACGTCTGATGGATCAATCGATCGGAGTTGAAGGAGTCGGCACCAACGCTCAGATCGCTAAGGAGGAGGCGACGATGCCAGGCGCATCCAAGGATGAACGAGGCAAGGTGCATCAGATAAGCTACAAGGCCCCAGTGGTTCCGGACTCCGACATTCCCGCTCTCTGGGGAAAGCGCAGTCTGAAGCACAACAGGGCGGTGGTCGACATGATCAACAACAAGTTGTATCTGTGTGGCCCGGGAAGAGTACAGTTTACACCACCGCCGGGGACGCTCACGTTCAACCTGGAAGATTCAAGATCAGGACATCTGCTGTTACCTATTTCGCATTTCTTCGGCAACGGTAAGGACAAGAAGGTTCGCGCGAAGCAGGAGCCGGCCACCTGGCATGCGAGTGCGCCTGTGATCGTCAAGCCCATGATCAAAGATAAGGTGAAGGAGGACGAGGCGGACTTGTCGACGCACGAACCGTCACCAGCCATCACCTCGAGGCCTGCGGGGCATTGAGGGTGCGGTCCGCCGTTACCAAGCGACGGCGGTGCCGCAGGAAATCATCTAGCTTGGCATCTGGACGTTCCCGAACAGGACCCGGATATCATAGTGATAGACGAAGACAACGGCCATCCGATTCGCACGAAGCTGCTGAGTCAGGCCCACATCACCTACACCCGCCTAAGTCTCCTGCACACCTCGACCATGGAGCATATTCTCCGACTTTTGGAGCGAGGGAAGTGTCGAGGTGTTTGGATGCGATTACATTCTCTTATACCTGACGTTACTAGAAGACAAGGGAAGACCCGAAAACAAAGGCAAAGATTGATGGCGACCTCCACACTCATCGCGCGCTTGATTCAGCTTCGGTGCGTGCTGGTGGTCGATTCCCAAACTGCGAATGAGGCCTGGCAGGAGGATGATCTTCTCAGAGCGACGGCAACGACCCTGCCAGGATATCGGATGACAGATCATCGATGGTGCAGCTACTTAACGTCAGGCAACGACATGGCCCCGACGACCAGCCAGAGATTCTTTTCCAACCTGGACCTGCTGCCTGACTCGTGCAGCTGTGGTCGTAAGATTTCAGATCATCGTAGATCGGCAGGGTTGGAACACGTTCAGCTTGAAGGTCAGTTTCTTACCGTATTCTGGCAGAATAGACTCCGAGACAAGCTGTGCGACGCAGTTCGAGGAGAGGTACAGGACGATAATGATACGGATCGAGCTGCGCGATATCCGCAGACGGGACCGGATGAGCCCGTTGACTCCCACATGGTGGTGATGAAGTCGAAGACGGTCAGTTTCTATCCGACC